CCCACTTCTGAGTGGGAACTAACTTGTAACTGACCCTCAAAAGCATTTGAAATCTATCAACTGAGCAGACCACTAGTTTTCATCACCCAAATGTTAAGAATGTCATCAAATAGCATCTGAGACCTAGAGAAAAGTCTTCTCAATCTTGTAACTGCCCCTTGGATGCACCCATCAGTTTATGATTAAGACTTTCATTGTCCTGTAAAAGCTATAAAACGTTAAGAAAATGTTCACCTGTTGGGATGTGGAATTTGGGGTAACCTAAATTTGTGTTCTCAGGATATGGTCACTCAAATTTGGCTCTAGAATAACCCATCTCTAATTCCAGTTAAGGTAGTGCTGTTGTGTCATGGCATTCCTTACTTCCATCCTCCCCAAAATAAAACCAAAGAACAACACCCCCACCAGCTATCCAGTCAGTGTTCGTAAGGTAGCCCGAAGAGAGAGGACTGTAGTGGGTATGGTAAGGGGTAAGCCTTGACAGCCAAATAGCATATGTGGAAGAATGTGGAATTCAGCACTCTTTTTTTTTTTTCCAGAAACAGCCTGAACTATCAGCAATGTGCATGAGTTCTAAATCCTTCAAAATATAGATGCCTTCATCATTGCCAAACTATTAAAGTCCTCACATGTAGCAGGGGACAAGGAAAATTTGATTTTATTGCTTGACAACCCAGCATATTTTGAAGTATTCATGACATATTCTATTTCCTCTGAATGGCACAGCAATTCTATGTACTTGTTTTTTTAAAAACAGAGATCAATTTGTTAATAATAGTTTAAAAGTGTAAATACAGGTGATGAGTATCTTTAGCAGATGCCGTCACAACACTAACCTCTCTTGCTTTAGTCAAAAGCAGAGACAAAAGAAAGGTTAGAATCTTTCGTTACATATGAAGTCTCATTGGTTCCAGTGTGAGTGGAGAATATACAATTAACTTCCTGATAATCTTTTCATACATATGCATTATATTTAATATTTAAAAGGAATAAATATAAAGACAAATAACTACAATTTAGGATCATCAGATGATAAGCTTCTAATGAAATAACCTATGTATAACTAAAATACATCCTTATAATGTTAAACTATAGTACCTCAAATGGATCCAAGGGAAAAAAATCCACAAAAACGAGTGGCAATGGCAGGGAGCCAGGGGAAAAATATTACCGTCCACAGATTATTTGTCAATGTACAGGTATAGAGCAATTGGTGATACCATATTAAAGTTTGTTTTTATTTTTGCTTTATGTTTGTTTTGGATATGTTAAAAAAAACCAAATGATAACTCCATCTCAGTCTTATGTCTCAGTAAAACCTTAAGATAAATGTTATTTCTGGTGCCTGAGAACCTTCCCTCACCAGGAAGCCAAGGTAAATAACTTTTATCAACGTGTCTTAGTATAGAGACTTCCCCAAAACCCTTGAGACAAAATTGGTGAATATCTGCTCAAAGTCTGAAAGGTAGCTGAAGCTGCCAGGCATCTAGAGCTCTAGAGAATTTTGTCCAGCAGTAAGCAGGGTTCTGCGATAGAATTAGTGAGTGCAAATCAGAAGTTAAAGAATCCTGTCAGAGATCAGCTGGGACAGAGACGTGGGGGATGCTCTGTGCCTTGGAGCCTGTTCTTCGCTGCCTCTTCATAGTCAGAGTAGTACACCTGTCACTCTTGTATCTCTCTGTGGCACCCTAAACAAGCTCCCTGCACAACCAGATCACTAGAAAGCACGATCTACTACAAAAGATGGTGCTATTAGAATTTAGAGTTTGGTGTGTTCTTATTGTCTTCCCTGGTAGTAAACTGATGGTCTAGAACAAAACGCCTTCTGCCTTGCCCTGTCTCAGACGCATCCAATTCAGCAGTCACTTGGTACCTTTTAAGCAAGTCTCTATTTGTATTTCTAAGATGAGTATTTACAATTTAACAAGTTGAGGCCTTGACCTTATGGTCTTGTTTAAGATGAAAACAAAAAGGTTAACAATGTTCATGATGTATCCATTCACGTGCAAATGTTCAAATACAAACGTTGTTCTGGGAAGCTGGAGCAAAGCATTCAAACCTCAAGTCCTCTCTACCTTATCTCCTAACTCACTGCGTGGAAACAGTCCTCTCCCTCCTGAAAACCATCTTCCCATAATATCAAGTCTTTTTTTCTTTTCTTTTTCTACCTTTAAGAAAAGTCATGCTGGCCCCACTAAAGGTTCAGCATGTTAATACACTATCAAGTTTTTACCCCTGCCCCCTTTGTACAGATTCTGGAAAACCCCTTTTTGTTTAAGTTCTTCACAGATTTTAGGATGTCATTAAGTAACTGTTTTATTATATAGTCTCCTATATAACAAAGTCTACTCATTATTTTGTGCTATTTCAATTTTTCTCATAATAATCTCTTAGGCAAGGATAACTAAGCATTTGAAGTGCTGGCTTTATAAGCCTTAGTCACCTTTTTTCAGCTCTGTTCTGTTCATCAAAGCACCTATAACACCAATGGAACAGGACTTTGATTGTTGGCTCGCAGGGATGAGTATGGTGGAGCACGCATGTGACTGGCATACAGTGCTGCTTAGCCATCCATCTTGACCAGCCTCACTCTTCTAATTTCAGGGCACGCACTGCACAGTTTGGGTTTCTGTCATAGCAAAGTGAACAAAGATGCAGAAAGAAACAGAAATATTGATGCAGGGAGTGCTTAAACACCATCTGAAGGTCTCACCTCTGGGAAATTTGGGTTCAAAGGGAATTTGACAAGAATTTGAAAATGATTCCAAGGCTCCTATATAGGAAGTGAGAGCCAAGGATCCAAGTTCTCAAATTTGAAGGACGCCTTCACTGCTGAGCTGGACGCCTCACCCACAGTAGCACCTGTGCACAGTGAGACCAGATTTCCCAAACCCAGTTGCTTGTGAGAACTCTCTTAACACCTTGGAAGCAGACAGGTGATGATCAGCAGTATTCCAGTGCTGAGGAGCTTGAACTAAGAGAGTCAGAAGTTCAAGGTCATTCTCAGCTACCTAGCAAGTTTGAGGCCAGCCTTGGGCCCTGCATAAACAAACAGAACCATTCTTCCTCAGTGTGGTATGTTGGTGCACATCTGTATTCCTGCCATTTGAGAAATGGTGTCAGTAAACTCAGGAGCTCAAGACCAGCCTGGGTTATGCAGCTAGCACTCAGGCTTCTTGGGTTGCATGAGATTGGTCCTCACTCAAAACTAAACACCTCAGAAAATTATTATTTTTTTTAAACCTAGAGTACTAGTATCCACAGGTGGTTTCCCATCCCAACACTAACCAGGCATGACCCTGCTTATCTTTTGAAATTAGGGGTGTTTAGAGTAGTATGGTCATACACAGAAAATTCTTACAGACATCAAGGTAATTGTTTTTCCTCTGTCTTATCTTCAAACTCCTGGGCACCCAATTATTTTCTTTTTGGGATGTCTGTTAGGGAACGAGTATGAGGTTGCCTAGGTCCCCATACATTTGTCAGTATCTCAAGACCACAAGGACCAGCTTTGCTTGGATTAAGAAACGCAGCACTAAATAGGGCATGGTTTCCCAAACCTTTAATCTCAGCACTCAGAAGGCAGAGAGGCAAATTCATAGGCCCACACAGGAAAATTAGCACGGGAACCTTATTGGTAGCTCTGTTTACATCACTGTCCAGGACCCGCCCTGTTCATTTTAATATGTTCCCTTGATTGGTTTTCCACTTTAAGTCGATACTGTTTTTAGCTTGCACAGAAAAAAAAAAAATAGTACTACTCAGTTTCCTTCAAAATAATTATTACTTATTAGGATACAGGTTTTTGCCTCCTAAATTTTTTTAGAGTTAGTCCGAAACGTAATTTTTGGAAAGGCACCGACTGTGAGTAATTGATCAAGTAATTTGATAGTTTTTCCTTCTACAAAAAGAAAAAATTCACATCAAAATCAAAAGCTAATTGAACTTTGAGGGTTTTCATGTTATTGCTAAGGCTTTCAATTCCTTATGAGCATTCAGTGAAGCAGCGAACTTGATTTTTAACTTGAACAAGCATTTTCCATAAAACAATTAGGGGGGACAAAAAACATTATCACCATGTTGAATCCGCATGATGCTTGGTGTTGGCTACTAGTTCTGGGAAATACGCTTGGCTTTCTAGGTTTCCTTATTTACCTAGTTACATTCCAGGAGGCTCTACTGATTTGGCCAATAGTCTCAAACTGTTAGTAACTGGAGCCCGCCAAAAGACCGAGTTCATTATTGCAGTTTGTTCAACTCTTTCTTAGAAACTGTGGGGGCTCTGAAAAGAGCCTTTGGGTCTGAAGTTTCTTAAAGTTCTGATGGTTGTCAAATTACTTCCCCTTGGCCTTGTGGTGGCTCTCGGTCTTCTTGGGCAGCAGCACCGCCTGGATGTTGGGCAGGACGCCGCCCTGCGCGATCGTCACGCGGCCCAGCAGCTTGTTGAGCTCCTCGTCGTTGCGGATGGCCAGCTGCAGGTGGCGCGGGATGATGCGCGTCTTCTTGTTGTCGCGGGCCGCGTTGCCAGCCAGCTCCAGGATCTCGGCCGTCAGGTACTCCAGCACGGCCGCCAGGTACACCGGGGCGCCGGCGCCCACCCGCTCCGCGTAGTTGCCCTTGCGGAGGAGGCGGTGCACGCGGCCCACGGGGAACTGCAGGCCGGCCCGGGAGGAGCGGGTCTTGGCCTTGGCGCGAGCCTTGCCCCCCTGCTTTCCTCGTCCAGACATGTTAGAGTTAAAAGAAGTCAGCGACACAGCACAAACTACTAAGCTCTGTAAGACACGGCTGCTTTTATATTTTGTTCCTGGGTAGTAAAAGTACCCATTTGATTGGTTACAAGAGGACTCAGCGATATAGCCAATAGAAAATGTGGCTCTCAGAACCTCATTTGCATAATCCCACCCACGATCCCTCTGGTGTTGTTTCTTCCAATTAGCTAAGACTTCTTTGAAATCCTTCATTAGCATAAGCGCCCTATAAGTAGGAGATGTCTACTTCCAACCCACATTGAGCTTCCTGTGTTTGGAGATCTGAAGATGCCTGAGCCAGCGAAGTCCGCTCCCGCCCCGAAGAAGGGCTCCAAGAAGGCCGTGACCAAGGCCCAGAAGAAGGACGGCAAGAAGCGCAAGCGCAGCCGCAAGGAGAGCTACTCGGTGTACGTGTACAAGGTGCTGAAGCAGGTCCACCCCGACACCGGCATCTCTTCCAAGGCCATGGGCATCATGAACTCGTTCGTCAACGACATCTTCGAGCGCATCGCGGGCGAGGCGTCGCGCCTGGCGCATTACAACAAGCGCTCGACCATCACGTCCCGGGAGATCCAGACGGCCGTGCGCCTGCTGCTGCCCGGGGAGCTGGCCAAGCACGCCGTGTCCGAGGGCACCAAGGCCGTCACCAAGTACACCAGCTCTAAGTGAAGTGACCGTGCCAAGTAAGCCTCTATTGCGAATTCCAAAGGCTCTTTTCAGAGCCACCCACCTTCTCAAAAAGAGAGTTGTGGCAAAGCACTGTTTAGCTGAATTTATGTAAAAGCTATTGGCACCTTAGACCTTCTTTATAGTGGTCAGGGCCACGTAAAGCATTAATATGTTACTTTTCAGTAGGAATTGTTTGTGTTTTGAAACATTTCATAGGAAATTTAACTTCCAGAGCCTGTGAACGTCACTTCCGGTTGAGCTGAGTCAGTTCACCGGAAGGAACGACGTCGTAGAGCAAGGACGACAGATAATGGAGTCAGTAAACAGACCTGGTAATATTTTGGCCACTGGTGTTTTGTCTTTAAAACACTTAACTCCAGGTGTTTTATTTTGGGGAGAAGTGCTTTAAGTTTACTTTCGTTTTGAAAGCTCTAGACAGGAGCAGCTTGTTAGAGAAAACAGCCTTTTCATATTTGTAGATTTAACATACAGCCGACTCCAGTTTTAATTAACCCAATATGTAGTCTGCCATTATCAAACGGACCTCCGACACTGACAGTCGCCGCCTCCAGATTCTGGTGAGAAATGAAACAATTTGTTCAAAAGCAGATGGAGACATTTATCACATGTTACAGCCTTGGCCCAATTATTTTCATAGGTCCAGCGTGCGGGTGAAAGGCAGAGTGGAGTGGGGAAGTAACCAGTGGGTGGGGATGAATTGGTAATGTTTAAATGAAATAACAAGTGATAGGGATTCAACATGTCAGCTTAAAAACCGAATTCACAGGCAAATAAGAATTTACATAAAAAGACCTTAGATAAATATTAAATAGAATGAATTAATTAGTGCCTCCTCATTGGATACTATTTAATTTAAACTTAGAAGTTACGAAATATAAGACACTGAAATGTTTGCCCCTGAGGAGCCTAGCTAGCCCCCAGCAGGCTTTCAGCAGGTCAGAGAAACAGGAGAGAAGAAGCTGCTAGGAGAGACACAGGCCTACAGGAGACTTTTGCTCAGGACCAAAGCTTCATTCTTCATTTTCTTTTCCTCTCTGATGGATATTCTTTATCTGTTCTTTTCTCTGTTCTGTTCTTTTACCCTGATGTTTCCCTTCCCAGTTTTATTTCTCTTTCCTAACGTCATCCTCTTTATTTCTGCCCTTACGTTTTTCCTTCAATATCTTTCCTTCTATTTTTTTCTTATTCCTTTTATACCACCTAGGGCAAAGACTTCAATGCAAGGAAAGATTCCCTCACAATCATTAAGTTATATGTTTTTCATAAACCAGTTTTTACATAGGAAGAAATCATATTAAGATCAGAAGTTACTTGTTTTCCTTAGAAGCTCACAAGTAGTTAAACATTTTTCTTTGTGTTAGTTTTCCTACCATAACATCTTCACCCCAAAGCAATGATTCTTTTATTATTGATTAAAAAAGGTTTAAGGAAGTTAAGTATATTTTAGTCAGTTCCTTTTGTACTGGCAGGCAGCTGTGTGGCCTTCAGTGCAGCGGATATCTGTTTTCTACTCTAGAGAAACGTTAAATGAATCGGCAACTCATTTGGTTTCCTTTCACAACTTTGCTTTTAAGATGCATACCGGGGCTGGGATTAGTTCTGCAAGTTACAGGACCGAGGAACTAGGGTCTAACCTTGGGTGTAGGGACTAATTGCTTTCTTTCGTCATCGGCCTGTTTTTCCACAGGCAGCATTCATGATCTATGTATGAAAATTCCTTGTTTAAGGGGAAGGTGACTTCTAGCCTATCTTTGTCTTTTTTGGGGTCTCTTAGTGGAGCAATTGGCACAATAATCTCAACCATTTCCCTAATCATCTTTACTGTCTTATTCACTTGTAACTTTCAGGCAAACTCAGAAAGTCCAATTAAATTATAGATCTAACTATTATTACTCTTATAAAAGCCATCTTCAATATGATCTGCAAGTAAATTGCCCAGAGAGGAGTGGAATTTTCCCAGGAAACAATCACACTATATTCGATTTGGTGGAATCCCTTTGTAGAGCAATCACACCTTGTCAAATACAGCAGGAACAAGGGGCAGCAGGAAGGAAGCACAGCAGAAACCAGGGGTGCTCTGGAAACAATTCTTTCAGGGGGTCTGCCTCTCCAGGCTGCTCCCAGAGAAGCTTTGTTACCCCCTGAGCTGTCTCCCATAAGCTCTGTTCCTGACTGCAGCTCCTCTGACCCTGCCACGGGCAGCTTGTTCTGTGTTAACTCTCCTAAGGTTAACCCAGGTTATAATGAGCTTTGCTTAACAAATTAGAAAACCCTGTCCTTTCAACTTAGGATGGCAGTAGCCATCCTTGCCTTTGCTACTTTAAGTCTGTAGGTGTGAAAAGATAATGGAGATACACCGGGAGCCCGGGTTTGGGACTGGGGCTTGTAAGTGTATATATAAGGAACCATGATTGCTTGCTTCATTTAAGGACTGTCTTTTATACCCAGTTCCCTAGCTACAGAGGAAAACAAATAAGGATACAAGATAATGGTTAAGTTTACTCTGTGTTTTAAGGAAGTTGGTAGTCTTAAGTAACATACTAATTCAGTTTAGTAAGACTCTAACGTGAGACTGTCCCAGTTTTCTTTTTGTGTAGCTGGGATTTAAGCTCATATTTTAATGCAAAGATCAGTTTTTTACCAATATTAAATTCAAGTTCATACTAAATTTGGCAGGATGAGTTTTAGACCAAAACCTATTTTGGGAGTTTTTTCCTTTGTTACTTAGTCGCAACCAATTTCCCTCTACACTGCAAAGAAGATTAGGATACTAAAATCATGAGCTGTATTTGAGTTCCCAGGGACTGTCTGGGAACTGACATAATTCATTCTTTAAAAATTATTTTGAAGAGAGTACTGAGGAAATAATGCAGTCAATAAAGTGCTTTTTATGCTATATGAAAACCAAAGTTCAATTTTCAGGACTCAATATAAAAAATGCTTGGGGAGGTGGTTTGTGCCTGTAGTCAACGCACAAAGAATGCATGCTAATAATCGACTGTCCCCGAGGTACTGACAAACGTCACCATGCAGACAATAATCACCCACTCAGAAAGACGGGCTGAGGACTGAAGAAAGCATCACTGAAGAACATTGAGCTGAGAACCGGTTCACACCAGCAAAACTACTGCAAAGCATTGTTCCCTGTTGAAAAGGGGAAGTGTCTGGGGTTGAAGTTTAATTCCCAGGCAGTTTGTCACATGCTCATGGGGAGACTTTAAGTCAAGCCTTGCACTTTTTCCGTGCCTCAGCTTCTTCACCTGTACCTTGAGGGTAATGGTAATCGCTCCCACCTTCTAGAAGGAACATAGCTAATTCTGTAGCGTGCAAAGGGTCTTCTTCCAGGTAGTGGGAAAATTGTCACTACATGGCAATGGAGAAGATCCCCAAAGACTGTTTTGATTGTTTTTTTTTTTTTTCATGTAAAAAGCATCTTAGCTGTCCTAATATTATGAACTTAGAACTTCAATTTGAGATAGGTAAAATGAAAGTTGTCAGAGAAAGGTTAAAGAAGTTTTTCCCTTTAAAAATTACATCTTCTCTAATTTGTGTGCTTGTGGTGGGTAGGGAAGCTCACACTTGATGCTGCACAAGTCCAGGTCAGGACAACTTGAGGGAATCCACTTTCTCCTTCTGCCTGTGGATCCGAGGGATTGAACTCAGGTCATCAGACTGGGTGGCAAGTACCTTTACTTTCTGAGCCGTCTTGCCAGGTCAAGGTTAAAGATCTTTAATCCATATGCATGCTGTCTGTGCTTGTCTGACATAGTTTATACATTTTATTCTTATAGTAGAAGCATGTGCGTGAAACAGCGTTATGTCAGTCTGGGTAATAGTCCGTCTATGGTTAAGAGAGATGGGATTTTACAAATTATAGAGTTCAGATAAAAATGTTAGGTTGAGAGAAAATGCACCCCTTCCCCCAATCGTAATCTCTTTAGGAACACTTAAGGAGATTTAAAACAGTTATCCTCCAAGGAGTTTAGATTAAGCACTTTTTTAGACACTCCCAGTAATTACACGTTTATGGTATTAAGCATTCCTTTACCTGAACCCTCATCCGTGCACCCTGGGTGACGAAGCCTACAGTCAAGTGAGCCAAGTACATAGCTGCTGTCGGCCTTTTCAAGACACGATAAACTCACTAAATTACTTAGATTCTAAAATCAGTTTGCTGAGTCTTAAAGTATTGTAGTTGATTATAAATAAGGAAAAGGGAAGGAAGTTTTCTTACAACCCCCTAGTTCTGAGTAGACAGAAGCAGTTGAGCTGAGAGTTGGCTCACTGTGAGTGGCTGCCCTTCCAGAGGACCTGGGTTCAATTTCCAGCACCCACACAGCAGTTTACAACTGAGTGCAATCCCAATTCCAGAGGATTCAATGTTCTCTTCTAGGTTCCATGGGCACTAGGCATGTAATATGCAGATAGATATACATGATGTACACTCCTAAAAGAAAATAAGTGCAGGTTTTGGCTCTCCCAAAGATTTCTGTAGAGCAACATCCCAATGTGCATTTGGTAGAATATTAGTGGTCACCCCCCAGTGTCGGGTCGCCCTGCTGCTGGGTCTGAAGTGATGAAGACCAGAGAATGACAAACCTATTGTGAGGAAGCAACTCGGTGCATTCTTGACATGCAGTCCTGGCCTTCCTAGGCAGTATCCCATTTTCCGACATGCTTAACAGCTTGTTGGAATTTAGAATCTCCATGGAAACACCGCTGAGTGTGTCTGCAAGACTATGTCCAGAGAGATTTTAACCCTTTAACTCTCTGTCATCTCATGAGCTGGGGTTACAGACTGAATAAGAAGGAGAAAGCCATCTTCTGGACTCTGGATGCAAGGTGACCAGCAACATTCCTGCCACCTTGCTTTCCCGCTGTAATGGGCTGTGAGCCCCAGCAAAGCGTCCTTCAGTTGCTTGTCAGGCATATGTCACAGCAGCAAGGCAGTAATTCACTGATCTTTATTCTTGCTTTTTTTTTTTCTTTCTCCTTTCCCTCACTTTTCTTCTGCATAATTTCCCTCACATGCTCTCTACTGTTATTGGCTAAATTTTTCTGCTGGTTATTTTAATTTTCAAGAAATGTCCAATTCTATTATTAGACTTCCTTAAACAATCGAGGTGATGGACACTGGACTCTAGCTGTTACTCACGCCTTTGGACTTTAATATAGTGAAATGAATATAAAATTGTAAACATATGTGATATATATATATTGTAAAATTGCTTGGGAATTTTACAGAGATGATTCAGGTTCCAAGATGTTGGATAGACAACAAACAAAAGCCTCAAACACTGCTAGTTCCAAGTGTGGATCAAAAATATCCTTTTTATAGGTATAGGGCTGAGGGTTCTGGACTCTAAAATTCAGAGGTTATCTTTTGGCCCAGTCAATGTATACACAAAGAGGAGCTTTAATTAGGTAAATAGGAAGGGAAGCAGCAATGGGTTTCCATCAGTCTGGTGTGTGAGCTGGCATTGTGGGTGTTTTTCTTTTAGGACCCTCCATAGACCACCGAGACACATGCAGTCTGAAGGGCTGGTTCTTAGAGTCTCTTGTGTGCCTCTCTGCCATCCTGTGTGTTACAGGCACATTCCTAGCCCTTGCTGTTTTCTTGTCTTCCCCAACTGCTGGAACTCTTGAATTTTCCCTGCTTCTTACTGTGCAGCAAGCTCTTCCCCGCTCTGCAGGTATCTGTGTGGCCACTTCTGCTGGGAAGACATCTAAACCACCTCTTTCCAACTGTTTTGTACAACATTATACAGTTTGGGTTCATCATTACTTCTCTGTAACCTCATAGACTCTATCCCCTGGTTTAGTTATCACAGTATTCCTAGGGCAGATTGCCCAACCTGCCACCCAGGAAGCACATACACATGACAATTGATCCAGTTTTGAATAAATTAAAAAAATGCACTCTACATTTCAAATAAATAAATAAACGCAGCTCCATGGAAGGAGAGCAAGGCCATGTCTGGTTCCTGGTCTTCCTCTTTCTTCCATCTTTACCTGTTCTGGACCTTGCAAGCATCATGGCCGTAGAGAACACACAGTCCATAAGAGGTGAAGAATGAAACTCCAGTTGCCCCCCCGCCCCCCCACTCCCCTTAGCAGGCGCTGGGACAAAAACTTCCAGAGTCTGACCTCAGGGATTATTTTTCTAAATATTTAGTGCATTTAAGCGCAGTTAAGCTTTGAAAAAAAAGGTTTCCACATGACAGTTATCACAGCAAAACTTTAGACCATACAGCAAAGGAGCAAAGCACCTGAGACCTTTACCATAAAAATGAGTCCCGTTGACTGATGACCAGTGCTCAGGGCAAGGGCCTAAGGAGGGTTTGTCATAAGCATAAGGATAGATTTTGTTGATGGAGGATATGGAGTACACAGGACCTCTTTCATAACAAAAGGTTCTATTTACTGAGACAAAAAGCTCAGGAAAAGGGCCCACAATGCTCAGGATATCAGGGGATTCAGGAAGGCTGGCTCCATAGAACAGCAAAAAGACCTCCAGGTTGTCAGACAACATCCGTTCCAGTCCTCTGGGTGGCTAGGCAACAGCCACTTTTCTTCCTTGGAAGAAAATAGACCTGAGGGCTTTAAAAGTATGGTTTCTCCAATGCTTTCTTTAAGCTGTGTCTCCTACACTTTCCCTTCTGTTCTTATAAAGGATCCCAGGATGACTTCTCAGTTAACAGTGTCTGCTGTGGGTTAGGTGTAGCCACAGGCTTACAGTGACTTAAGAAGGAGGCTCTTCCCCTTCCCCCCTGCCCTGCTGGGATCACTAAGGAGCTGTCTGTCTCCAGAGACTGTTTCATGGGCAAAGGACAAAGTGCTTGCCCTCCTGGGAAGACAGCGTGTAAACAATGGGTACTCTCATTCTAGGTGAACACAATGTCAGAATGGCCCACGTTCTGGGGAGAGCAAAGGAGCAGAGCAGAGAAAGGAGGATGATGCATGGCAGCAAATATAAAAACTAGGACCTCTGATGCAAATGCTGGCTATAATTAGTAGTTGAATGTAGCATAGTGTTTACCGTGTGCCAGGCACTGTTCTACGAGTTTTACTTGGTTCAGTTAATCCTTAGACAATACGATGGAAGCTGGAGGAATGCGTGAGGGATGAAGCCAGTAAAGAAAACAAGTGTAGACTGATTAAGTCTGTCTTGTGCTCTTCTGGGTGCATGTCCTTACATCCATTGTTTGTGCTGCCCTGGGAGCTGGTGTGATTTAAAGATGTGGCTGTGAAGATGCGTGTGAACACTTGAAAGGAGAGCTGTGGGTCTTTCCAGCACAGTCCTTAAGGATGCCACCTTTCTTGCTGTTTATATTTATTTATTTTGTGTGTGTATATGTCTGTCATGTGTGTGTGTGCACATGTATGTGCAAAGATGTGCAAGCCTATGCATGCATACTGAAAGAAGAAAGGTTTGGGTGTTCTCTTTTAGTACTCTCTGCTTATTCCTTTGAGGCAGGGTCTCTCCTTATTGAACCTGGTTCTTGGGCCTTCTTGGCCAGGCTAGAAGCCAGCAAATTCTACTTTTGTCCTTGCCCCTTTTTAGAGCCAGGGTTAGAGGCTTTCGTGGACATGCCTAGCTTGCTATGTAGGTGCTGAGATCCAAACTCTTATCCTCATTGCAAAGCAAGCACTCTTAACCATTGAGCCAATTCTCCAGCCCCCAAGTTCAATTCCTCTTCAACTGCATTTAGAAAAGATTACGTACACTTTATTAAAACAAAGATGCTGGAAGAAACACAGTGAGTTCTTGGGCCTTCAGAGGTCACAACCTGAGTAGGAGAGATGAATGCATACCTCCCACTTGTTAAATAGAGTGAATCCCCTTACCTCTGCTTCCCTTTATTGTAACCAGGTTCTTTTGTTTCTGGTGGCCCAGACCCGAATAATCACACAGAAACTACATTGATTACAACTTCATGGCCAATAGCTTAGGCATATTTCTGGCTAACTCATATCTTAAATTAACCCATTTCTATCAATCTGTGTATCACCATGAGGCTGTGGCTTACCTGTAAAGATCCACTGTGTCCTCCTTTGGCAGCTACATGGCATCTCCCTGACTCTACCTACTCGCTCTCTATTTCTTGCCTGGCTTTACTCTGCCTTGTCATAGACCAAAGCAGTTTTATTCATTAACCAATAAGAGCCAATACATATACAGAAGGGCATCCTGCATCACTCGGTGCCTTCCTCATGTGGGAATAACAAACACTATTTTTTCCTGCTTTCCTCATGCAAGGACCTTTGCAGTCCTGCACAGGCAACTCCACAGGGTCCAGCTCAAGCCAGTGTTCCCCTGTTGTACCATCCCTGCACCTGGGCAGTGCCACCACTTTCCTTAAGAACAACCCTCACTCTTTTTCTACCTTACCGATCCCTATCCTTAAGGTTTCCATAAAATGGAACTCCCAGGAAACTAACTCGATAATCCCATTAATCCTTTATTGAAACCAGGCTCAGGTAGTAAAGGGGTTAGGTTTACTCTATAGGCCCAGCATCTATCAGTTCCTGGGGATACCAGTGTCTGTTGCTGAGTTCCATCTTCTGTAATCAGGAGGGGAGCAGCCGTAGTTTGGCATAGTATAGTTGGGATGACTAAATGCATTGAACGGTATTCATAGGCTCCTCAGAACACTGCTGGTCTCTCAGAAAACAACCAAAAAGCGCCAATCTTTGCTAATCCCCATTGTCGTTTTCACTCCTGGAAGAGCAGCAGACATCTGCAGAAGAGCTACAGTGACTTCACTTTTCTCTTTCTCTCTCTACAGGAGGCGTAGACACGGCATCTCTTCTACCGCTCATCAGTGCTGGATGTTGTTTCACCTGACAAATGAGACAGGGAAATGGAGGGAAAGGGGCGATACTAGCAGACTAATGGCCATATTGAATTTCAAAACGCGAGGAACACGTGATAAGCATCTGGCTAAAGATTCCATAGAAAATACTCACCATAGACGTTTGTGATAGGAAAGACACACATAAGTAGAAAATGAAAATACTCCTAGCTAAAAAAAGCTTTTAAGTGTTGGTGATATGTGAATATATACTGTAAATATAATAAAAAATATCATGTAAAGCAAATACGCATCCTACGTATGTAATTTTAGTTAACTAAATATGATTAGAAATTACTATATGTGGAGGTATAATATTTATGAATGAATCACTACCTATGTAACTAGTTTTGTATTTTTGAGTTAATTTGCATCTCTATTTTTTTGAATATAGATCATGCAAATTGTAAATCTTCATTTATAAATCTTTTATTTATAAATCTTTTTCTTCTTAAGAGGAAAAACTTAGGTCAACCATCTGAAAGACACAGGCTAAGGGTGTAGCTACAGGGCATGCTTGTCATGTGCGAGGCCCCATGCTCCAATTTCTGCAGTAGTGTGTGAGAAGAAAAAGAAAGAAGAAGAGAAAAATGAAGGCAGGCATGGTGGTGGTCACCTGTACCCCCATTGCTGACTGAGGAGGTTGAAACAGGACGACCGGGAATAGAAGGGGGTTTGGGCTACATAGCACTGCCCTGTGGAACACAAACTAGGCCTGGACAGGTCTGGGCATATGTGATATATTTTTTTAATGGATATTTTCAGTTGCCTTGGGCAAACTATGAATCCAAGTTCTTTTTCTGGATTTTCAATTATAGAATCTAAGAACTCATTACATTTGTCACTTCCGTTTTACTTTTAAAGCAATAGACTAAGATGCTCTGCCAATCTGTAAAGGTCTACTTGATGACTGTGTAGCACTGACAGTAAATGGTCCAGAAAGTTGCTCTGTGAAAAAGGGTATATCAAAGTGATATCAAATTTATAGTCGCTCAGAGAGATGGACCTGTTTTCACAGGGAAGATCACACTACACTGGCAAGGTGGAAATTAATCTCATGACTCTCAACTGATAGTTTTGTTTTGTTTTTAGTTTTTCTTCCCCCACAGGAAACATACTAGAATAAAATATATGAATTTAGGTACTTTATTAAGATACCCTTGTTTTCTGGAGTGTGTGGGGGGGTGCGGAGAAGAGGAAACTTTTTATCTCTTGCATTCAGAAATTTGATGCTTTGTCCTCAAGTGTTGGTTCAGAAATATTTCAGAAGTAGCGTTTCCCCACACTGTCCCCCTAGACATGCCTTTGAAATTCTAAGGTTCCTGCTAGAGTCCCAATATTATACACTCAGCACTTATCGGTAATGGTGATGATGTTTATGCCAAACATATAAAGCCTAGATACATACTACAATAATATAATAATCAATTTTCATGAACTTCTGATGGCTCTTGGAATAGAAAACACACTTTTCACACAAGCAACTAGAGACTTTCACAGATAGCCCTAATGGGTTTTCTTTGGGTTGAGGACCTGGGCTCTGGTGATAAAAGATAGAAAGACAGGAAATTCAGAATATATGGGTAGGGAACAGTCTTAGTTAGGGTTTCTATTGTTGTGAAGAGACACCACAACCATAGCAACTCTTATAAAGTAATACATTTAATTGTGGTGACTTACATTTTCAGAGGTTTAGTCCATTGTCATCATCTAGGGACTTGGTGACATGCAGGCAGACATGGTGTTGGAGAAAGCTGAGATTCCTACAGTTTGACCTACAAGCAACAGGAAGTGGTCTGAGACACTGGGAGTGTCTTAAACATATGTGAGACCTCAAAGCCCACCTCCACAATGACATATTTCCTCCAATAAGGCCACTTGACTCCAACAAAGCCACACCTCCTAATAGTGCCACTCCCTTTGGAGGCCATTTTCTTTCAAACCATCACAGGAACCTTCACCTCAACCTCAGGGTCTAATTTATGCTTTTCACTGTTTGGGAGTCAAATTTTAATACAACCATCTCAAACAGGAGGAGCACAAGAACTCACAAACTGCTTAAGGACAGGACATATGTGACCTCTGAGGATAGCTGTCAGAGCACATCTCTCATAAGCCTGAACAGTGCATCGCATAAACATCCCTATCAGTTCATACACAAAGGAAATTCTTGAAGAGAAACAAGTAACCACCTCATACAAGTTTACTTAATTTTTGAACTGCTTTATTAGATTTTAAAGATGTTTGTTTGAGCAATGTAACTTCAAAACCACAAAATACACATGTACACACATTCATACAACACACACACACACACACACACACACACACACATTCCTTTGCAGTCCTGGACTCTGAACCTAGGATCTACCACCTGCTAGATAGATAGATGCCTTATTACTAAGACATATTCCCACTGTTCCCAATGTGGTTTTATTTTGAGACAGGGTCTCATGAACTTATTCTACAGCCATGCTTGCTTTGTACTTAGACCCTCATTCTCTAGCCTCTCAGGTAGCAGGGGTTAGAGTTCTGCATACGAGGCCTAGCCACAATTACTGTTAAGACACAAGTATACCCCCTTTTCTTGAGACAGACACCCACCCACCCTCAATTTCTCCTTAACAGACATCAGCTTTTTCCCATACTGTCTTATTCTGAAGTTCTTTTCTGTGGCATCAATTAAGACCCCTGCTTTACAAGAGTAGATATCTCCAGAAAGGACTCATAACAGCTGGCCGCACTGGGTCACAAATTCTGCTTCAGCTGACGTAATCCCACAACACTCTCATTTTAGCGTCCTCCAGAATGGATTGGGTTTTACACCTTCCTCAATGTGCATCATGTTCTCTTTCTCCTCTTCTCTTCTAACCATGGTGGCTTCGGTCTCATGGCGACCCTCCCTAGGCCTCAGCTGCCTTATTTCTGGGCATTTTGCTACAAGGCCCAGCTGAAGGCACTCTTAATCTCCAGGCGTGCCCCTTGGATAAGCTCTGAGAAGAACACTTCTCCAACAAACCTGCAGCCTCATCTACCAGCCCAGCCACTTTAAGAGACTGTAAACTGTCATTCCAGCTTTATAATGTTATAGACAATTAAGGGGCAGGCAGAGAGAGGACAAGACAGAGAGAGTAGGCTCCTGGTGGCGTTTAATTCGCGAAAGGAGAGGCAAACTCGGTTGAAAAGCACCCTTGATGTTGGTTGATTTGGCTACAGAGATGGCATTGGTGAGACGTATATAAGGGCGTTTGAGCAGTTCCTCCTATAATTCAGGGGACACAGCGCCTCTCACATGCTCTGTGGAGCGTTTGTTAGGCTCTGCTCCCTTCGAGAAGGCCTCACTCTGGAGTTTTGGAATAATTCTAGGAACACCGTCTGATCCTACAGTGAGACGGCTAAGATGTCTGTGCTACTTCTGTCACATATATAAATAATTTCGATAAGAATTCGGGCCTGAATAATTGATTTTAATCGCCAGTTAGGAACCACATATGTAGACGATCCCTCCGAAGACATTGGATATATTTTCTACCAAAAATTACTTTTGAATTTTCAAATAAAAGAGAAAGTTTTTTTCTTCTTCGTGAATTTGAATGAAAATCAAGGGCTTTTCCCACTAGTTCTGGCCTGCAGGAACATTTATCAATAAAAGGTAAGAAGCCAGGTGGAATCCAAGTCCCCGTGGGTCACCTGGTGTCGCAACCTGTGCGATTCTGCAGTGAACACACATGGAAGTTTCTACTTTTGGGGGGGAAAGAAACACAAACGCCCCTCCCCCAGGAGCGGGGGAGGTGTCTGGGAATGCACCAATCACAGCGCGCCCTGCTCTATATAAGCCCCCCCCGCCCGACCCGCCTCCCTGCGCTGTTGGTGGTCTTTTTACTTTTTCTTACTGGGTTATTTCTTGACTAATTCTTGGCTATGTCGGAAAAGGCTCCTGCAGCCTCAAGTAGCCTTGTCCCAATTCCTGTCGAGAAACCTCCATCTAAGAGGCGAAGGAAGAAGCCTGGCCTGGTCACTGCTCGCAAACCCCGGGGTTTCTCGGTTTCCAAGTTGATTCCCGAGGCCCTTTCGACGTCTCAGGAACGGACCGGAATGTCCCTTGCTGCCCTGAAGAAAGCCCTGGCTGCGGCTGGCTATGACGTGGAGAGGAACAACAGCCGGATCAAGCTGGCCCTCAAGAGACTTGTGAATAAGGGGGTCCTGGTGCAGACCAAGGGCACCGGCGCCTCCGGCTCCTTCAAGCTCAGCAAGAAGGCTGCTCCTGAGAAGGTCAAGGGTAAGGTCAAGAAATCTGCTTCTGCCAAGGCGAAGAAGCTGGGCTTGTCCAGGGTCTCGAGATCCCCCAAGAGCAATAAGACCAAGGGTGTCAAGAAGCCGAAGGCCACGCCCACGAAAGCATCCTCAGGCAGACCGAAGACCAAAGGCACCAAGGGTGTGCAGCCGCGGAAAAGCCCCGCCAAAGCGAGGGCGGCCAACCCCAACGGTGGCAAGCCAAAGATGGGCCTGCATAAAACCGACCTGAGGAAGGCAGCAGCGAAGAAGTGAGCTTCAAAGTCAGCTTTAAAAAACCCAAAGGCTCTTTTAAGAGCCACTTCCATAATTTTTAAAATGGCAAAAACACTTTAAACAAAAGTTAATGAAGCCGGGCGGTGGTGGCTCATTCCTTTAATCCCAGCACTCGGGAGGCAGGCAGATTTCTGTGAGTTCGAGGCCAACCTGGTCTACAGAGCAAGTTCCAGGACAGGCACCAAAGCCACAAGGAACCCAGTCTCAAAAAACATTACCAAAAAGTTAATGAGGTGGACAGTCGCTTTACGTGGATCTGTCTTCTAGACCTTAGAGTTAAAAAGTTGGGAGGACCCTAGGTGTACCTTTTTACAAATTTGGCCGTGTATTAATGCTTTCTCGTTATCATAAAGGTCACCATAGGCGTATTTCATTCTAGAAACGCCACCATATCAAGGAAGAAAGTAGAGATGAGTTCAGTAATAGATACCACTTTGACCAAATATTGTACTTCAATTTACACTTTAAAAACACCATTTATCAGTGTCCAGGCTGTCAAACCACCACTATGAACCCAGATGATTAGGAGTTAAGCTAGAGATTATACGTGTTTTCTTGAGTTTAATTTTTAGGATTTTGTGGGTGATGAATGGAAAAATGAAGCGAGCAGTCTCAAGAATATTGGAAGTTTTTGCAGTTTATCAATAAAGGTCAATTTTGTCCCATTTTATAAAATGG